AAGTCGGACGCTTAACCAACTGAGCCACCCAGGCGCCCCAGTCAATAAATCTTAAACAAAGCAAGAAGATATAGTCAATGGAAAAAAGACAGTCTCCTCAACAAACGGTATTGGGAACACTGGACAATTACATGCAAAAGGAGGAAATTGGACCACTTTCTTACACCATACAAAAAATTAAATTAAAAGTGGATTAAAGACTTAAATCTGAGACATGAAACCATAAAAATCCTAGAAGAGAACACAGGCAGTAACTTCAATGACATCGGTCATAGCAACTTTTTTTTAGATAGGTGTCCTGAGGCAAGGGAAACCAAAGGAACGATAAGCTATTGGGACTACATCAAAATAGAAAGTTCCTGAACAGAGAAAGAAACAATCAACAGAATTAAAAGGAAACCTATGGAATGGGAGAAGATATTTTCAAGGACATATATCCTTTGATAAAAGGCTAGTATTCAAAATCTATAACGGCTTATCAAACTCAACACCCAAAAAACAAATAATCCAATTACAAAATGGGCAGAAGACATGAACAGACATTTCTCCAAAAAAGACATACATATGGCCAAGACACATGAAAAGATGCACATCATCACTTACCATCAGGGACATGCAAATCAAAACTACAATGAAATATCAACTCACACCTGTCAGAATGGCTAAAATCAACAACATGAGAAACAACAGATGTTGGCAAGGATGCGGAGCAAAAGGAAACCTCTTGAACTGTTGGTGGGAACTGATGGAGCCACTCTGGAAAACAGTATAGAGGTTACTCAAAAAGTTAAAAGTAGAAGTACCCTATGATCCAGCAATTGCACTACTGAGTATTTACTCAAAGAATACAAAAACAATAATTCAAAGGGATACATGCACCAGTATGTTTATAGCAGCATTACTTACAATAGGCAAGATATGGAAGCAGCACAACTGTCCATTGATTGATGAATGGATAAAGAAGATGTGGTACATATTTATAATGGAATATTACTTCAGCCATAAAAAAGAATAAAATCTTGCCATTTGCAACCATATAGATGGAGCCAGACATTATAATGCTAAGCAAAATAGTCAGAGAAAGACAAATACCATATGATTTCACTCACGTGGAATTTAAGAAACAAAACAAATGAACAAAGGGAAAAAATAGAAAGAAACAAGTCAATAAACAGACTCTTAACTACAGGGAACAAACTGATGGTTACCAGAGGGGAGGTGGTTGGGGGGATGGATTAAATAGGTGATGGGGATTAAGGAGTGCACATGTCATGATGAGAACCAGGTAATGGATGGAATTATTGAATCACTATATTGTACACCTGGAACTAATATAGCACTGTATGTTAACTAACTGGGATTAAAATTAAAACTTAAAAAATTAAAATCAACAATTAAAATCTCTTGGGAAAGGAGTTAAGATGGTGGAGAAGTAGGGGGACGCTAAGCTTGCCTCTTCCCTAAAACACAGCTAGATAAATATCATATCATTCCAAACAATGAAGAAATTGCTCTGAGGACTGAGAGAACAAAACTGCACATCTACAGGTAGAAAAACGACCACCTCATGGAAGGTAGGAGCTGCAGGGGTTGATTTGAGGGAGAAAAGAACTGTGGGTGCTGTGGAAGGGAAGTAGCCCTGATTACAGAAAGAGGGGCAAGAGAGAGAGGGCAAGAGTGAAGGCAGGGGACTGCACAAGTAAAACTTTTCCCCAAAACCAGTGACTAAGAAAAGGAGAGGGGCTGACTGTCGTAAGTTTTATAAGCAGTAAAATGCAAAGTCTGAAGTTTTAGAAGTCCATACTGTTGCTGGAATCGTGCCTGGTGGGCTCAGTGGTGTTCCAGTGGGGAGGGAGGGTGGAGACCTGGGAGCAGGCAGCATGGTCTGAGGGATCCCCTTGGTCACATGGGTAGAAACAATTACCCTTCTTGGAGTGCATTTGGGAGTGGTGGCATGGCCTCTCCAGGGATAAGAGAATTAGCACCGGTAATGTGATGCCCTGTTCTCATAGGAACAAAGATACTGGCTGAAGGCAGCAAACCCCAGTGCTGGCTATGTGCTACACTTTACCATAAACTCCAAACTACTGCAAGATAGTGCAAGAACTTTTATGGGACAAACCGACAAATGGCAAAAGTATGGTGAGACCCTCCCCCAGAGGATCAGTGCAGGTCCGAGTCATGCGGGTCCCTAAAATTTAAAGTTTTGAAACCCAGCTGCATGCCTGATAAAACACACAAGTACTGTGCCACCTGGCAGGCAGGCAGCTCAGATATAGATAGGGTGAAGGCAGAAATCTGACGGAAGCCAGGGACAGAAAAGGGGTGATTTTTTGGTCTTCTGTGAGGGCTACCTGAAGACTGGCCTGCAGGAACTCCCCACTATGGGGAAGAGAGGTCCATCACCATTCCCCTCTCCCCCAGCCCACCCATCAGCACTGACTGACTTCAGTGAGCAGCACAGCATACCCCAGTGGAGACCACAGCTGCTTATATCAAACCCCGTCCCCCTGCATTCTGCAGGTGCCTCTCCTCTAGGGCAAGTCCTCTTGAATATAAGCCCTGCAGGCTCCTCCTCAAGAAGACCAGCACAAACCCTTTTTACTCACCAAGGCTACTGATTATAGAGTGCTGCAACACTTCAGCTCTAGGGGAAATACGATCTGGCCTGTTTTTGTTTTTTTTTCATCAGGCTTGTTTTAACAAAGAGACTGAGACACACCTAGTCAAAATTTGCCACACAGTAGACAAGGTCCAAACAACCCCCACTGCAGGCAAGGAGAAATTCTGCAGAGGACTGACCTAAAGATAGGAGCAGCCAAAACACAACAGCACAGTACATATAGGATGCTTTTATTTTTCTGGACCTCTTATT